AAAAAAAAAAAAAAGTAATTATGATCCATGGGAGTTTGTCTAAAAATAGAGCTTCAGCTTGTGTGCTAGTGTGTAACAAGGTGGACACCCTGAACGTTAGAAGGCCAAGAAAGGCTGTGAAAGCCCTGATGGCCCGATGGGCAAGGATCTGGTGGGGTGGCTGCAGGGAAGGACCAGACAGGGGGCAATGGGAGCAGAGTTAGGGAGCTCTGGTGGCCTGGGGTCCAGACCCAAACCTTTGGGGGACCGACAGCTGGCAGTGGTGGAAATGGCAAATCTAAGAAATTTACCAGTTCACAGGAATTCTTCTGGGTCTTAAGGGACACACCATCTTACTACCCAGATAGTAATAGCCTGCTAATTTCCATAAGCTGTATAATTTAGAAGACACCATTTTTATCCATTTTCACAATTGTTTGAGGTGTTATTTTCCCACTTCCGTGGCTTCAGAAGAAAACCTGGCATGGTAATGCCTTATATGGACACTGAGAATAAGCGAAATGTGTCTAACAAAATGCCTAGCACATAGGAGGGTGCTGAATAAACATCAGCACCTCTGCTGGATTGCTTCTGTTTGAATGTGAACGGTCAGGTTCAGAAATGTTGAATACCATGGTTAGGAATGTGAGTGCTGGCATCAGACCACTAGTCAAGCCCAGCTCCACCAACCTATCTGTTAAACCTTGGACAAGTTAGTTACCCACTTAAAGTCTGTTTTTTTTCTGGCATATGCAGTAAAACTGAGATAATACCTGAACCTTTCTCATGTGGTTGTAGAAAGGATTAAATGAGATAATGCAAACAGAGCTCTTAAGATAGTCCCTGGCACTGATCACCATTCATTAACAAGTTTAGTTAAATGCCCCATATAGCAAGGGCATAGGCCAACACTGGAATCAAGGCCAGTGCTCCTGCCACACCCAGGCTGCTCCTGATGGTAACCAACATCAACCCAAGTGAGAGGGAAAGAGAGCTAACATCTGTAGAGAGCCAGCTGTGTTTCAGATGCCGACATCACCACAAAGCAATTCGCAGGGCTGCGCTGAGCCTCTGGGGGGTCAGTAGCCTTCCCAAGGTCTCAAATAAATGAGAGATGTGAGAATCAATCTGACTCTCACCTACCACTCTCGTGGACACCAATACCTCTCACTCTGGCCTGTATCAGAATCACTTGGGGAGCCTATTAAAATCCAAATTCCAGGCCCTTCTCCCAGAGTTTCTTTTTTGTTGTTTCTTCTCCCAGAGTTTCTGATTTGGTAGGATAGAGCCTAAGAACCTGCATTTCCAACAAAGTTCCCAGGGGAGGTCAAGGCCGCTGGCTCTGGACCCTATCTAGAGAACCATCAGTATATACCAAGCTGCCTTTGCTCAGTGAGATTAGTTGTCATGAGACACCTGAGTCTCAGGCTGCCAGGAGCCTTCAGCATAGCCCGGGGGTTGCCCTCGGGTACATTAAGGAAATGTGTCTCTGCTAAGCTCCTTAGAGCTCCGTGACACACCACCCACAGCCCTGTCAGATGGGCATAGACTTTTGTCAGGTATAGTCTATGACCTCAAAGTCAGCACTCCCAGCTGGGTGTTTTATTATTTATTCACTTGACAGGTAACATACATTTGGTCCTATAAGACACCATGCTATTGGCTTAACTACTTGCTATTGCACAGGAAAACTCCTCCGGGCTCTCAGGAAGCCCGTGCATGGCCTATTGAGGACAGTTCAGTCACTGCAGAGAAAAACCGTGTCCAAAGAAGTGACCCACTCCCCAGGGAGCCTGTCCCACAGCCCTTCAGAGCCGTCACACTCACACGTGTCAGGCATCAAAATAATGGCCATGCTGGGAGGAATGAGTGTTCTCAACTAGAAGGTGGCCTTAAAATCATGGTGTACTAGACAAATTATATATATAACAATTATATAAATTAAGAGATCTACGTGTATACAAAACCTTTCAAAGGGGATCACTGAATTCCACTCTATATCATGCCAGGTATTTGTCAGAACCTTGAAAACAAAGGCAGTTTTCAATGGAGCTGGTATTAAAAATAGAAGGTATTTATACACAGGCCCTGCTCCTCTCGTGTCCACCGTGAAATCCTCTGGTGTTGTCAGGGCCCCGGGGCAGCCTCAGCACCCCTACAGGTAACCTATCTGCAGTCTGCGTCTTCCGGGAGAGCAGGGGACTCGTACCAGGACTTTTTTCCTGTGTCCCCATCTCGGCTTGGCGGCGCCTCCGAACCCAGGGGCTGCCAGAGGGAGTGATGCTGCTGTCAGAGGAATAATCCATGCACTTGCGGAAGATCTCAGGACTGGTGCTGGAGTTCAGTCTCCCTTCCTCGGCCAGCGGGGATTTTCTGGAAACACCTTTGCGCTGGGCCAAGGGGCTGCTCCAAGGACTCGAGCATGGGGAGGCATTTGGGCTCAGAAAGAGATTCTGGTGGCTGGAAGGGCTGAGCTTGTTGGTGACCACATGCCTCCGGCCAGCCATAGGGGATGCAGGATTGCTCTCAGGGTCGGAGGAGCTGTTGGCAGAAGACTCGTCACCCGTGTATTGAAGCTCCTCCACTCTCTTGTTGAGGGACTTGTGGGTGCTAGTAGTGGGCTCCTCATCATGGCTCTTGTCTTTGGGGGCTTTCTTCTTGGGGGGCTTCATACCAATCAGGACAGCTTTCATGTTCTCTTTGCCCTGAGATTCTGTAATCATGAATTCGTGGGCTCTGATGGCCGCTTCTACCTCCTCAAATTCCACGATGGCACACTCCTGGGTCCCCACTTGGCTGTAGCGGCTGCTGATTCTCCGGATATCAGGAGGCAGCTCTCTGCCTGGTTTGAGAATCCGCACTGAGGAGATGACTCCAAAGGTCCCGAAGAGCTTGAGCAAGTGCTCCATCACCTTCTCCTGCACCCTTCCATTCTTCTGGGGTGTGGCCAGGGCCCACAGCTTGGAGGACAGGTAGAGATCATAGAGCAGGAGCATCTTGCTGGGGAGGTTCTCATTGGGGAACAGTGGGACAGGCGTGGTCCTCCTCACCTTCCGGTGGTCCTCACTCAACTCGAGGCTCATTGAATACTTCAAGGCATGTGCCGTGGTTCTCCAGTCCCGGGTAAGGTGTTTCACCTGAAGAACAGAAAGCAAATCTGAAATGGGACCTAATGTCCTTGTCCACCCTGTGTACTCTAGAATCTCCCTGCCTCCCTTTTTCCCTGTAACACTAGTATCTAGTATCATATCTGGTAGATGTAAACACTCAACAATCTAGTGAATGAGTAAAGGAATAAATGCCACTTTCTCCAACTTCAAAAACTGAGGGCAGCATGGTTTAGTGCTGTCCAATAGAACTCTCCATGAGAAGGGACATAGTCTATTCTGCACAAGTTTAGAGCTTAAACTTGGAACAAGGGCTCTGGAACACGGCTGTTGTACACACAAGGCCCACTTTTAAACTGGTAGTAAAACTGGAAAAGTTATTCAACCTTTTAATGCTTTGACTTCCTCCTCTGCAGAAATAGAGAATTTTTTTTTTTTTTTTGAGACAGAGCCTCAGGCTGTCACCTTAGGTAAAGTACCGTGGCATCACAGCTCATAGCAACCTCCAACTCCTGGGCTTAAGCAATTCTCCTACCTCGGCCTCCCAAGTAGCTGGGACTACAAGCGCCCGCCACAACACTCAGCCATTTTTTTGGTTGTAGTTGTCATTGTTGTTTGGCAGGCCCAGGCCAGATTTGAACCCACCAGCTTTGGTGTATGTTGCTGGCGCCTTAGCCACTTGAGCTATAGGTGCCGAGCCAGAAATAGAGATATTAATAGTGCCTACCTCAGAGACTTGTCATGGGGGTTAAATGAATAAATATATACATGCACACACATATATATGCACAGGCACACACATTTATACATAAAATTTAGAGCAGCAACTAGCTCATAATGAGTACTCAATAATTATGTACTATCATTATTTTAAATGTTACGTGTCGTCATTTTGATAGGACTCGGAGATTTTAACATTCAAATGCTTTTCTGAAGCCATACTTCTACATTTCTGCATTTGATACAGAGAAGGTCCCAAATGATCTCTCCCATTTCACTGCAACATCTCCTGAGAATGACATGGACTGTTTCAATTCTGAATTAAATCCAACTTAGGCCTCATGAAGAATGATGAAATAATCCCTCCCTTCCTCCTCCCTTGATGGAAATTGAGTGTATTAGTGTTGTACTATAGGAAAGCTATATTTATATCGTAAAACAGTAATTTTCTAGAGATCCACTTCCGGTAAAGAGAATGTCAGGGGGGAATGAGTCATCCCAGAGAAATAGCGAAGGTGGGTGGGGTGGGTGACCTGAGCCAGGAATGGCAAGATCACCCTGAGTCCTCTGAGGCCAGGCCAGAGGAACCAGGAACTCCAAACGTCCCTGGGCCTAAAACAGGAACTTTATGAAACTTAAGAAGGGAGGGCTCCCTAACTAGGCAGGGTGGGGAAGCCTGCAGAGCCATTAGTACAGCCTCCTGGAGAGAGGACAGTCCGCTCCAGCCTATGGCGTTTTGGTGTAGTGGCCTGGACTCAGGCTTAGGGTGCAGGAATCAGCAGAATAACCTACACACAGAATCAATGGGCTGATCACTGTGACACAGGCCAAGGGTACAGAGAAGCAGGCCCAGGCAAAGGGGTGGATTTCAAGTGAGCAGAATTAATCAGGAACACAGAAAGGGGGAGGACTGCAGGTCAGAGCAAGGCTGTGGAAAGGCCAGGCCACAGCTCTTCTGGGGATAAAATATGGGTGGACACTTCTCCAAAACCTGCTAGGGAGGGAACGCTCAGGAGAGGAAAAGGAACCACCTCCTAAGCTTAAAGCCTGAGCAAAGAGGACCCCGGGGAAGTAGAGTACTGCTGTACTCAGAGGGCTGGAGAAGTTTGTGGAGGAACACACCCTATTTCCAGAGAAGCAGGCTCTAGCAAGGATGAACGTCCCTCCAGCGTCAGCAGCAAGATCTACTGGGCAATCTCGGTTACAGTCTGAGCACCCCAGGCGTGACCTTTTACAGCAGTGGTTCTCAACCTTCCTAATGCCCTGGCCCTTTAATACAGTTCCTGTGGGTTGAGACCCACAGGTTGAAAACTGCTGTTTTACAGGGAATGTCAGGCACCACCTAGGAAAAGGATCCAGGGAACTTTGGTCCTGGAGCATTTATTAGAAGAGCTTTGTAAGAGTTTCAGAAACTTTATAATTTCCCTACACTTGTTACTTTGTCATATATGTTTCCTTTTTGTGAATAACAGGAAACCCTTTAAAAGAAAAAGGGTTTTGCACTTATCTTGGAGGTGTTAGGAAGTCTGTCCTAGTCTGTAGCTGGTTTTCAACAAAGAATGTTCCTAAACAGATCTGTAAGTGGCAGCCTAAAACAAAAAGAAGCACAGGGTGTCTCTTGGGGTCTCTAGGCGAGGAACAAGGAATCTGCAGGATGATTCCAGGGCCTGTTTCATTTTGGGAAGCCCCACAGACACTTTTCAATGAGGCTTGCTCACTGTTCTCTGGATGTTGAAATGCCCCTTCTCCTATACCCTGAAAATTCCCACTCAACCTCTAAGGTCCTGTCTCAGTGTGGCCAATCTGGGAAGACTCTTCATTTCGCAGGGAGGGTTGGCTTCTCTGATCAACCAGCTCCCAACAGTACCTTGTTGTCTCTTTTCTCATTCTGCCTCTGGTCATATTGTAATCTCTCTCTGATCTCTCCTTTATTGGACTGTGAGCTTTTCAAGAGCAAGGGGAATACCATACTCATTCTGTACATGCTGCACCTAACAGCAAAGGGAAGATACGTGATGAATGAATAAAGGGAAGAGAGTGAGAGAGGATGGAGCACAGTGGCAGGCCAGGCAGGGAGGAGCTCCGAGGAGGAAAGCTCTCCTCCCTGCTCTCTGACCAAGTACACAGACAACTTGGCCAGGACCCATGCGTTAGGCATCCCGTTATGCAACAGGCTGCATGGTGCTTTTCCATTCTAGTAAGTGCACTTCCCTCAAGGGAGATACAGAATTCTAATTCCAACTGGTCTGTTAACTCGCTGAGAAGAGTTCACAGCCCAAATACTGGATGTATACATAGCAGGGACAAGCAGTCTGCTGCCAGACAGCAGCAGGTGTTAGCATCTAATATCTCCACTGTACATGTGAGGACGGTGCCACACACAGCAGTCTTGGGGAAGGCTCATTCCCAGAGTTCAGGGTGTTCTTTCCCTTTCCCTAATTAGTCAACTTGACAAATGCAAAGCTTGGATTTCATAGAACTCTAGGCCCACCAGGTGTATCTAAAGGCCTTCGAGTCCCCTTGTGTAGGGCCCAGCATCCTCCTGGCCACCCACTTGCCCGGGAAGAGTGCCTGCACTTTACTAAGAACAAGTAAAGAATAATATTGTTTCATAACTGCTGCCAGATGATACCTGTCCCTTTGCCCGGGACCCTTACATAGTGTGGGAGTATATTCTTAATAACAGTCCTAAATCCTTTCTCCTGGCAATTTTTCTCTTTTTTAGGCCTCAGATTAAATTTTTTAAAAATTCCTAGTTCAGGCTCAGCACCCATAGCACAATAGTTACAGCACCAGCCACATACACCAAGGGTGGGAGGTTCAAACCCAGCCCGGGACACCTAAACAGTAGCTAAACAATTGTAACCCCAAAATAGCCAGGCGTTGTGGTGAGCACCTTAGTCCCAGCTACTTGGGAAGCTGAGGCAAGGGAATTGCTTAAGCCCAAGAGTTGGAGGTTGCTGTGAGCTGTGATGCCACAGCACTCTACCAAGGGTGAACTAGTAAAACTCTGTCTCAAAAAAAAAAAAAAATTCCTAGTTCATCAGCTTTCACATGGGTAAAAATACCTTCAGAATCCCAACCCCTAAAGCCCTTGAAATCCTCGAAGGAGCTTGTGAGAACCAAGCCTCACCTTTTTGAAGGACGTGAGTAGCTTGACGCTCACGTAGCCCAGCTTGTTCCTCCTCACGTGCTTTAACAGGAAGGCGTCCTTCTCCAGGTTCTCATCTGAAAAGTAGAACTCGATCTGAGCCACCAGTTTCTTGATTAATTCCTCGTCCGGGGGCTTCCACTCCTGCTCCAGGTCCTCACGCTCATTCTCGCCTCCACTTGTTGTGGTGCCACTGGAACCAGGAGACACTGGACGTTATATGTTGAACTCTGGCCCCCCTCCCTCAAATTCACATGCCAAAGTCCTGAGCCCCAGTACTGAGAATGTGACTTTATTTGGAAATAGGGTCAATGCAGACATAATTAGTTAAGATGAGGTCACATTGAAGTAGGGTGGACCCCCGATTCAAAGAGGAATTTTGGACACAGACATGTGCACAGAGACGACACTGTCTGAAGATGAAGGCAGAGACTGGGGTGAGGTAGCAGAACTTGAGGAATGCCAGATTGCCACCAGAAGCTGGGCAGAGGGCTGGAACCTTTCCTGGTGTCTTGACTAGATACTAGGTGACACCTTAATTTCAGGCTTCAGGCCTCCAACAGTGAGCTAACACATTTCATTGTCCTGAATAGGACCAGTTTGTGGTACTTTGTTACAGTGGCCCTAGGAAACTATGCTGGGCCACATGTGAATGAGACTCCTCAGAGGTGGTGACCCTGTGATGGCCACAGAGGAACAGGTTTTGTCTCCAACCAGCTAAGAAATCAAACTTTTGTTGTGAACAAGTATGAAGCATCATTAAAATAAAAACACTCTCTGCTAACGTTCCTGTGGTGCTCTGCTACCAGCAGAACACTTTTCATGTATCTCATTTTCCTTCCCTGCTCCATCCCTCCAAATCCTGATTTCTGGAACACCCTAGTATAGCAGGGTAACTTGATCTTTAAACAAGATCCTCCATGCTTATTGGAAAATAAAAGCTTGACTTCTTAGCTGGCAGGGACAAAACCTAACCCTCTGTGGCCATGTGATCACTGCCTCCAAGGATTCCAGTTCAAGTGTGACCCAGTGCAGTTTCCTAGAGTCCTGGTTTGAGAGTTAACACTGCTTGGGTTCAAATGCTGGTACAGGTTGAGAATCCCTTGTCTAAGATCCCTGGGACCAGAAGTGTATTAGATTTTGAAATATTAAGGGGACCCAAGTCTGAATACTAAATTCATTCGTGTCACATATATATGTACTTCTACAGATAGCCTGAAGTAATTTTATACAACATGTTAAATAATATTGTACATGAAGCAAAGTTTATGTACGGTGAACTGTCAGATAACAAAGATGTCACTATCTCAGCCACCTACGTGGACAATTTGAGGCATCACACCAGTACTCAAAAAGTTTTGGATTTTGGAGCATTTAGAATTTCAGATTTGGGGATTAGAGGTGCTCAACCTGTATCTCCTTTCATTATCCACGTGAATTTAGGCAGGATCCACTAAGCTGCCCCTCATTTCCGCTACCTGTAAATTGAGGATTAGGAGAGTCTCTATCCTGATAGGATTGTCAGGAAGAGTCAGTGAGTATATGGAGATATCTAGAAGACTGCCTGGTTTACCCTTAGAGCTCAGTTAAGTGACAGATAAATTCCTTTCCTCATTCGCAAAAGGCAGATCTAGGATTTAAATTCCAATTCTCTGTCTCCCAAACCAGTACTCCTGATACCCTCCATGTTTTGTTGGGACCCAGAGCTGGAATCTGGAAACACAATCCCATCGCCGAGGTCCTTCTAAATGAAGCCCCACCTGGACAGATGTCCTGTTCTCTCTCTCTGAGAATATTAGCTCAGGAGAACAAGCCAGAGAAAATCCTGGGGAAAGCTCTTTAGGAAAGCTAATCTTTCATAAAGAGATTATAAAAATTTCACAACCACAGATATTTAGGAAACTTGTGATTATCCACAATCTAATTGATGCCATTATTACAAGTTAATAGAAATCTGCAATTATAGGAGTTGGTTTGGTAACTCAATAATGTCACAGCTAATAATGTCAATAAGACCTATTACTGTGAGAGGTTAGAAAAGGTATATAGATATACATATGTATATATGCACATACATAGACACACACACACATATATATGTATCCTTCAACAAAACTTTCACTGACTCTTAGCCTCCAAAAAAATAAAACCAAGGATGGAATACTCAAAATGAGGGGAAATATTGAATATTCTGGCCAAAGAGATAAAACTAAACATGTCTATGTAACACCTTTTCAAGTTCAGAATTTATAGTATAAAATGTAGACACCGGTTGATTTAAAAATGCAGAGTTTTGGTTATTTACCTGTAGGCAGCCTGGAAATGGTCTTTAAAATACCTTACTGATGCATTTACCTTCATTTATCGAGGTAAATATGTAGCAGAGAAAAAAAAAGTCTGGCAGACTAATTTGAAGAGTATGTCTTTTAAAAAGTCTTTTAAAAATGGAATGATGGCTCGGTGCCTATAGCTCAACCGGCTAAGGCGCCAGCCACGTACACCTAAGGTGGCGAGTTCGAATCCCCAGCCCGGACCCACCAAACAACAATGACAGCTGCAACCAAAAAATAGCCGGGCGTTGTGGCGGGCGCCTGTGGTCCCAGCTACTTGGGAGGCGGAGGCAGGAGACTCGCTTGAGCCCAGGAGTTGGAGGTTGCTGTGAGCTGTAATGCCACGGCACTCTACCCAGGGGGACAGCTTGAGGCTCTGTCTCAAAAAAAAAAAAAAACTGGAATGATAAGAGGTAGCTGTAGCAGACATTAGGCTTACGCACCCAACATCTAAGAGCAAACTCCAATTGCCTTCCTTGACTACAGAACCTATAAAAACCAAATACTTTCCCAGCGTCTCTTACAGGTAGTCACCATCTGTCATGTTATAGCAAGTGAAAGTCTGTTGGCCTCGCCCCTTCCCATTTTATCTGCTTTGAGTATCGATGCAATTGTTGAATCTGCAGCAGCCGTTTTACCACCCTAAGGAAATGGCCAAGAAAAGCAGCTGGGTTTGATTTACTGACATAATTGGCCCTGGCATTACAGGGTTATCGAACCAACTCCCTTGACTATCTACTGTATATTTCTGATTATTGCACGAGGAAGGTCAAATCCTCTTGTTTAATTCACTTGTTAGTTGGGTTTTCTGTTACTTACAGCCAAATACAATAGTGATGAGAATAGCGCTACGTTGGGAAAAAAGATCCTCAAAACATGCCAAAGGGAAAATATCAGTGAGCCACTCAGTGGAATGAAAAAGGAGATAGAAGATGGACAGAACAAATTTTCACTTTATTAGAGAAAGTTTACACTCCAAATGTAAAACAGACAGGTTAACTATGCCAGACAACTACAGATGTATAGGGAATTCGGAGCCCAGCTGACAAGGATGTCCATAAATAGCAGGGTCTGGGGTGGAGTGTGTGATAATGGACAGTGGAGAGTTTTGGGTGGACTCAGAGGTATTGGCAAAATGGTCTGGCTTACTAGAAATGGCAAGTATATCAAAAGTTTGCACTTTCAGAATACTGCACTACCAAAGGCATCCACAGACCAGTAAGTCCTGCTCCCAGACTAGAGAAGTTGATGCTCTTATAAAAGGTAAACTTATAAAGCACAGTGGAAGGAAGGCAGTCTAATTTCTTCATCTCTTCAATGCTTATTCTAGAGCCTCCTGTTCGTCCCCAGGTCTGCTGTGTCCATTTTATTCCTTGCAGATGATTCTATCTCAGACTGGATAGAGAAGATGAAGCTCAGATGAGGCAGTCTAGAACTCCCCACGCAACACCTCCTCACATTGCCCCAGCTGGCTCTGTGTCTCTCAACATCCACCGAAGCACTTGGCTGCCATGGCCAAGGGTCCCTGCTCCATCTTGGGCCTCCTGCCCCAGCTGCAGGATCTGACGCTGATGACCACCCCTCCTTCCTGATACTCTCCCCCGGGGTTATGTGACTTGTTCTTTTCTGACTCTTCTCCCCATTTGCCTGCCCTTTGAGTGCCCTCTTTCTCCCACTATTTCTAAATGTAGGGATTCCCCAGAAGTCAATCCCTGACTTTTCATCTCTTGGTAAAACTCCACACTTTAGCCCCTGAAAACTCATCCAATTCAAATCTGCCTTTCTCCTCCCCACCTGCTCCCTACTCCCTCTCCTTCCTGAGCTCCAGTCCTCCAAATCCTACCTGCTTGACAGACATTTCCACTAGAATAATCTGATATTGCATCAAATTCAATATAACCACAGTTGAACTTACAACCTTCTACAGAACTTGACCTCAGCAGGACTGAAGCCTGGGCCTGCCATCAGGCATTCTATCTGGCAAGCTGACCTCCCTGTCATATAGGTCACAGTAAATTCATACTGTATGAAGGGTGACTGCACCAGTTACACGCATCCATCCAGTGAGCAGAGAGGCAGGTAGCCAGAGATTCCAGAACAGGTGGGTGATACTGCACAGGTGACATAAAACCCCTATGAGAGCACAAAGGGCAAGTTCTTGCGCTTGGAGGACTCCTTCCTCTGCGTGGGTGCGGTCATCAGCAGCTGTGCACCCCCAAATGGGGATCATGGAGGAGCTAGAAAATCTAGATCATCTGTGGAAACATGCTGCATTGTTTCCTTGTTTGTGAAATAGTCTTCAGAAAGGAAAAAATTCTGTAGCCTTTATGAACATTAATGAAGTTTATATCCTGTAAATTTGAGTGTTGTCAACTTTTTGTCCGCTACAACCATCCTGTGATAACCATGTCTTCCTTCCCAGTATCACTGTGGATGTTAACCTCAATCACCTGTCTGAGCTGTTTGTTAGATTGCTCCCCTGTAAAATCACTTTTTTCCCCTCACTTCCACACTGTGACCTTTGGAAGAAAGTCACTCTACGCAGCCCACACTTGTGGCTATTCCTTTTGAAGACGGAAGGTCTGGATTGCTTTGTCTTGGTGGCTTGTAGGCTTGTCTTGGTAGGCTCCTTCTGCAACTGTATACTCGCTTACTGGTTTTCTTCCTAAGGGGTCCATGGGTGGAGCATGCCAAGTAGCAGGCTTCTTTTTGGAGTGAAGGAGATCAGGCAGAGATTCGTTAAGTTGGGGCCTATATGCAAATGGAGAAGGCTTTACTCTGCAACTACCAGCCCTGCCTTGGCAGCCTTAGATCTCCACAGTGAGTTCATTCAATCCCTTTAGAAAGTGATGTGACTTCTTTT